CCCTGGCCCCTGCTCAGCCTGCTTTCTTATGCAACACAGGCCCACCCGCCCAGGGGTGGCACCACCCACAGTGGGTTGGGCCCTCCCACATCACTCATCAAGAAGATGCCCTTCAGACATGGCCACAGGCCAGTCCAATAGAGGCAATTCTCCAATTGAGGCTCCCTCAACCCAGGTGTGTCAAGTTGACACTAAAGCTATCCAGCACAATGCTTTTTTTTTTTTGAGACAGAATCTCACTATCCTTACTGGCTTGGAACTCACTATGTGGATCAGGCTGACCTCACACTCACAGAGATCTACCTGCCCCTGCCTCCTGAGTACTGGGATTAAAGGCATATGTAGGGTTTCAAAACTTCATGCAAGTTTTTTGGGTGTGGACAAAGGTTAATTAATTTTATTATGTTTATTTTGGGAGGCAGGGGTCCAGCACACACTGAGATATGTTGGGAAATTTGTATGAGATCATGAAGGAAACAATAAAATGGATCTTAAACTGTTCAAAATACTACAGTCATTTTATTAATAATGAGCTTAACATCTTGAGCTGTTTATTTTCCATAATGCATCCCACAGCCCAATATTTCTAAGTAATAGCAGTAGCAGCACTTTCTTAACATAAAAAAGTGTTTGTGTGTGCACATGTATGCCAAGGTGTGCATGTGGAGGTCAGAAGTCAGCTTGTGGAAGCTTGTTCCCACCTTCCACCATGTGGGTTCCAGGGCTCAAACTCAGCTCATCAGGCTTGGTGGCAAGCATCTTTACCCACTGAACCATCTTTCTGGGTAGAGTGAAAAGAGATTTATTTCTTGCAGTAGGTAGGTAATCATCTTCTCAATGCAATTAAAAAAGCAAAACAAAATTAGGCTCCTACACAGGAAGGGTGGTAAGAAGGGCCTGTTTGCCATCAATGGATTACAACTGAAAGTGCACCCTTGGAGTGGCCTTCCAGGAGAGTGCCCTTGGGTGCTTGGAGACAGGGCTCAGAGGTTAAGAGCACTGGCTGCTCTTACAGAAGACCTGGGTTCAGAGCACAGCACTCACATGACAGCTAACACCTGTCCTTAACTCCAGTTCCAGGGGATCCAACCTCCTCTTGTGACCTCCACAGGCCTGTACACACATGGTGCACTTAAATACATGTAGGCAAACCCCTCAAACACACACACACACACACAATTTTTTTTAATTTAAAAAATTTTTTAAAGAAGTGTGCACTTAGACACTAGAGTTACGCATAGCTGTGAGTTACTGTGCAAATGCTGGGAACAGAACCCAGGCCCTGCAAGAGTAGCCAGCGCTCTTAACTGCTGAGCTATCTGTCCAGCCCCCTTCAGAGCCTTCTTGCTGGCCCGTAATGAATTTTATAATGGATAATTAATTTAGCTCCTAGGAGTTTTATAACTTATAGCAACAGATTTTAGTAAGAATCAGGAAAGTGAGGGTCTGGGGACTGTAGTTCAGTTAGAGCTCTTGCCTAGCATGTCCCCAGTTAGAGCTCTTGCCTAGCATGCCCAAGGCCCTGTGTTCAATCCCTATAACCATAAGAGAAAAAAATCAGAGGAAAGGTATGGCTATCTGGCTCAGTAGGTAAAGGTGCATGCCACCAAGCTTGATGACCTGGGTTCAATTCCTGGGACCCAAATGATGGAAGAAGATAAATTATCGTCTTCCACATGTGGTGGCATGTGTGTGCTCATACACATACAAAAACATACATAATATAATAAAACAATAAGAAAGAAAGAAAACCTAAGAAAGCTGAGTATTTGAAAACTTCACTGGTCAATCTATGCCCCCTTGAAAATTTTCCCTTTGCCCCTCCGGGTTACACAAGCTGCCCTTAGCAGAGGTGAGGTCTTTCCCCTGGCAGGTTGCCCAGGCTCTGGTGGATGGCCTGACACTCATGCACGTGCAGGTAGCATTAATTGGACTCGGTGGGGCATTAAAAAAAAAAAAAGAAGTGGACCTAAAAGTGGGAAGACGTATTAGGTGGTGGGAGGATTGGGAGGGGAGATTTGGGTTGGATATCAACATACACTGTATACGTGCATGAAATTGTCAAATAAGTGAAAAGTATTCTGGAAAAAAAAAGAGGTGAAAATTGTCAAATAAGTGAAAAGTATTATGGAAAAAAAAATAGGTTGCCAGTGAGCATCCCAAGGTAGCACCACCCTGAGCATCTCACTTCTGTCAGAAGCTTCAGCCCACCTGGCCCAGCCAGGCTGTGGCCCAGTAGAAGCGTTTGCCCAGTCCTGGCCCCGCCCCTCACCCCGCCCCTCGCATCCCAGGAACGCAGCGATTGCCCCATGCGCCCCGCCCCTTCCGGCCCGCGAGGTTTGAGTCCCTTGGCGGGCGGAAGCCACCAGAACTTGAGGATTGGGAAGACTCGGCTTCCCTGCGCTCTGTGTGCCGGTTCTCCGGCCTGCCCCGTCTCGCGCCATCGGTCCCCGCGCCCCTCAGGTCAGTTCTCCCGCCCGCCCTCGCTCCGGGTCCGGGCTGTGTTGGAGCGCGGCCGCCGGAACCCGGCTTTCTCCCGGGAGTCCCGGGAGACGGAGCTCCCCAGCCACACCTACCAGCCGCGTTCCTGGAGTGATCCCAGCTGTTCCGACCCCTGGTTTTCTCCGTGTGGACGGTGGATGGTGGTTGTTGCTTTTTTTTTTTTTTCTTTTCCGTTTTGAGACAATCTCATGGCGCCCAGGATGGCCCACGCTCACCCTGCACCCATGCATGCCATGCTCGTGGAGGCCAATGAGGGAGTTGGATTCCCAGAAACTGGCGTTTGGATGGTTGTTAGCCGCCATGTGGGTGCTAAGAACTGAACCCGGGTCTTCTGGAAGCGCAGCAGCCGGTGCTGTTAGCCATTTCTCCAACCTCAAAGCACTAGTTTACATAATAGTAGCAAAAGTGTTGTTCCTTGGATTTAATAGATATAATCTAGCCCCACACTGGTATTACTTAAAGATATGGTATAATTTGAGAGAATAAGGTAGACAGGAAAATGGAAAGGAAAAGGAAGTGCATTATCTTCAGTATTAACCTTGGTGCAAGTCAATCTCTTTCCGTGACCTAGAGGTTTAAAACTTGTTTGGGGGAAATCTGTCAGGAAGTTAACTATGAATCAGGCCTGGTTGTACAGGTTTTTAATCCTGTCAGGAGGTTTAGGCAGGAATCCTGAAAGTTAAAGCCTGCCTGGGCTATAGAATAAATCAAGGCTGTGCTGGGATTGCAGGCCTGCGCCACCGTTCTCAATGCTTAGCTTACTTTTAGAGCAGCTTTCCAGTCACATTTGTAGCCCATTGTCTCCCTGTTCCATTCTCCTGCTTCCTTCCTTCCTTCCTTCCTTCCTTCCTTCCTTCTTTTTTTTCCTCTCTCTTTTCAACAGGATCCTAGAAGTTACTGGGCCAGGTCTGTACTTTTACTGCTGTTATTTCTTATTTTGGAATCTCTTAGTTCCGTGATAACAGGTTTTTGGGAATGGGGTTCCATTTCATTCCTGCATTTGCCCCACTGGCATATGACCATAAAAAGAGACCTGAAGTAGGGGCTGGAGAGATGACTCAGTGGTTAAGAACACTGGCTGCTCTTGCAGAGGACCCGGGTTCAGTTCCCAGCACCCACAGATAGCATCTAACAACCATCTGTAACCCCAGTTCCAGGGGATCTGATACCCCTTCTGACATCGGCACCAGGCATGCACATGGTATACATACATACATGCAGACAAAACACTCATACACATAAAATAAAAATGAATAAAATTATAAAAAAGATTTCTGAATTAGTATGGCTTTTGAGCATATTTTTAATCCTGTGCCTTCAGCTGCCCAGTGAGAATAATTGTGTCTTCTACAACATCTCCTTGCTTTATCCTTAAACATCCAGTAGAAACAGAAATGTTTTATTTTATCATCAGTTCTTCCTTAATACCAGGACTTGACTTTGCTTCTTCCAGTGTTTGTCTACCTATATTCATGCAGGTTCAGCTATATTAAAAGTTCACCCTGGGGTTGGGGTGATGACTCAGTGGGTAAAAGTGCTTGCTGAACAAGCCTGATGACCGGAGTTTGATTCCCGGAACCTACAGGAAGAGCAGAATGCAGTGGCCTGCATCTGTAATCCTGGCACTCCTACAGTGAGATGGGAGGCAGAGACAGGAGTACTGGCTGGTTATACTGGAGTGTACTGGATATGCAGAAACGGGAGATCCTGCCTCAACAAAGCAGAAGATAAAACCCAACTCTCCCCAAAGTTGTGCTCTGATTTCCATGTGTGCACTGTGGACTAGGAGAGTGCAAACATAAACAATTTTCAATTGGAAAAAAGACCAAAAACCTTGTTGGGTGTGGTGGCACATGCCCTTAACCCAGCCCTCAGGAGGCAGAGGCAGGTGGATCTCTGCTAATTCCAGGGCAGCCAGGGCTATATAGTACCACCCTGTGTCAAAAAAAATGTTCACCTTGCTTTGTAAATTGATTCCTTTTACCTCTTCCTAGCTTGTTAGGCTTGGCAGCAAGTACCTTTACTCACCAAGCCATCTCATCAGCCCAGGAAATGATCTTTTAAATAATGAGCTAATCATTAAATAATTAATACCGAAGGCTGGGCGTGGGTGGTGGCACGTCTTTAATCCCAGTGCTCAGGAGGCAGCAGTAGGTAGGAGGATAACAGCAAGTTTGGGGCCAGCCTGGACTACAGAGTGAGCTCCAAGCCAGCTAGGGCTATGTAATGAGACCTGGTCTTAGCATGTGGGAGGACCACTCAAGTAAAAAGAGATGTTTTCTTTTAAATAACATTTATTTTGTGTATGTGTGTGTACGTGCACATGTTTCATAGTATGTGTATGGAGGTCCAGACAACTTGGGGGAGTTGGTTCTCTCCTTCTATTGTGGGCCCTGGGGTTGGAGCTTAGTTTTTAGGCTTGACAGAAAGTGCCCTTAGTGACTGAGCTAGTTTGTCTTTCATGTTTAAGTGATTTTCTTTGAGACAGTCTTATGTAGCCCGGGCTAGCCTTGAATTTGCTGTGTAGCCTAGGATGACCTTGAGATCCTGATCATCCTGCTTTCACTTTCCAAGAACTGGGATTATAGGCATGGACCATGACCTTGATATGCTTAGGTCTTCATCTGGATATTATTTATATGGATGGTGTGAGGTAGGAATCCAGTTTTTTTATATGGCTAATCAGTTTTTCTATTATCGTTTATGTGCTTAAGACTTATTTGTATTTACAAATGGAGGAGACAATCTGGTAGTATTTCTTGTATTGATCATGTACTATTTCTTCTGTCTTATAGGATCTTTTTGTCATTTTGAATTAACTTCCAGGTGTACTATGAAAGATTATGAAGAACTTCTCAAATACTATGAATTATATGAAACTATTGGGACAGGTAATAGTTTAATTTTTTTCTTAGAGGCAGAGTACAGATCAAATATTTGAACGTATAGTATATCTGAGTATTCATGAGCTTTTTAGTATAACTTACATAGTTTTAAATTTTTCTATTTTATAATATAAATTTATTTAATTATTGTTGGTGTTGTGTGTGTGTGTGTGTATGTGTGTGTACATGCACATGATGTATGTAGAGGATACATGCATATAGAGGTGAGAGACAACTTTGTGGAGTAGGTTCTCTCCTTCCACCTTTATGTGGGTTCCAGGGATGGAACTCAGGTTGTGAGGCTTGTGCGCCAAGCGCCTTTACCTGCCGAACCATCTTGCTGAAGCCTCGCTGTACTTTCATATGGAAAACAGAATAAGGATAGAGTATTAGAAAGGCTTTGTAGGTCGTTGCAAGGGGCTTTTACTTTTAGTATAAATCAAAGTGTTTTGAGCCAAGGAGAGATCTGACCTTTGTTTTCACAGGTCCCTCTGGCTGCCCAAGGTGAAGACCTCGGGTGGGAGAGGGCAAGGGCAGAGGTAGAAAGAGGCAGTAATTCAGGAGAGTGGTGTGGGAGGTGATGGTGGGAGATGAGAATGACGGCAGGGAAGGTGGGTTGAGTTATAACACAGAACATAATCACATACGTGAAGTGCACAGGTCTCAGTTGAGTTTTACATGAATATACAGGCATGTATTACCTGTTCAGAGAAGACACAGGCCATTTTTACTCAGTACTTGCTTTCCCCTGAGGAAGGCGTTGGTATATTTCCCCCAAAGTAAGCCAGTGGGGATTTGCTGATGAATTGGACATGGAGTGCTGGAGAAAGGACGGCTAAGGATAGTTCCAGGGTTTTGTGTCCAGACACCTGGGAAACTGTTGCTGCTGCTTCATTAAAGATTAAAAAAAATTGTGTATGTCTGTGTGTCTCTGTGTATACCACATATGTGTGAATGCCTGAGGAAGCCAGAAGAGGCTTGAATCCCTTGGAGCCGGAGCTATGGGTGGTTGTGAGTACCTGTTTGTGGTACTGGGATCCAAACTTGGATCCTCTGGACAGGCTCTTAAACACTGAGCCCTGTCTCTAGCCCCAGCAGTTGCTTTTTACTGCAGTGGGAAAGACCTTCTAAGAAACTACCAGGAACTTCTTTTTGGAAATGTTAATTTTATTCAGCTTTTGACCCAGTTTTATTAGCTGGGTGTGGTGGCTCACACCTTTAATCCCAGCACTTGGGAGGCAGAGGCAGGCCTGGTCTACATAGTAAGTTCCAGGACAGCTGCAGCTACAGGGAGACCTTGTCCAAAAAAAAAAAAAAAAAAAAAAACAAAAAAAAAACCCACCAAAAAACCCCTCTAAAAACATAATTGCCTACCATCATAGTTTTAAAACTGATGGAAGTTTTATGTGATTTATCTCAGCAACTTTATATTATGTTAATGACAAAGCAAATTTAACTGTAGTGTTAACCACAGAATATATATTATATATTTATTAAGAATTAATTGTGTGTGTGTGTGTGTGTGTGTACATGCAGCATGCAGCTGCCAGCAAAGGCCAGAAGAAGGTACTGGATCTGTGAGCTGTCCAGCATGGGTTCTGGGAACTGAACTCCAGTCCCTCTGCAAGAGTAGCAAGTGCTCTTAACGTCTTGAGCCATCTCTCTAGTCCTCATAGAGCATATTTCTAAAAACTGAAAAAAAATTCTATTTATTATAAAATTTAAATATGTGCTATTGATGGTAGGAAGAAAAATCTTCATCTAGAAACACTGAATGAAAAGACGCTGCAGTCATGGCTACTATGTTGGAGGTAACGAGTCATGAACTTCTAGGAAAATGTGGCTTATAAGCCTTTAAAAAGTCTGTAAGAAGTCTGTATTTGTGCTTGAGTCCTTATCTCTTTATCGTGCATTTTTATGTATTCAGGTGGCTTTGCAAAGGTCAAACTTGCCTGTCATATCCTCACTGGAGAAATGGTAGCTATAAAAATCATGGATAAAAGTGCACTAGGGGTGAGTTTGAAATTAATTTTCCTTTGTTTTAAAAAATGTTTTATTTATTATTTTTATTTTATGCGTATGAGTGTATTGCCTGTATTGCATGTAGGTAAGTGCACCCGTGTCATGCAGTGCTCATGGAGGACAGAAGAGGCCGTCAGATCCCCTGGAACTGGAGTTACGGACAGTTGTTAGCTCCCATATGGGTGCTAGGATTCAAACCTGGGTCTTCTGCAAGAACAACCAATGTTCTTAACTGCTGAGCCATCTCTCCAGCCCCCTTTTTTTGTTTTTTTAAAGACATGGTCTTCCTGTAGCCTTGGCTGGCCTGGAAGTCACTATGGAGACCAGGCTGGCCTTAATCTTACAGAGATCTGTCTGCCTCTGCCTCTGTCTCTCAAGTGCTGGGATTAAAGGTGTGCACCATGAAATTTTTTACATTTTAAAATTAGTATATATTGTACTAATGGGTTCCATTGTGGGTTCCACTGTGATAATTTCATATATGGGTGTTTTATACGTTGATCATTTTTTACACCCTCTATGACATTAAAAAACTATTTAAAATTTTATTTTTGTTTTGTGAGTGTTTTGCCTGCATGTATATAAACGTACCAGGTCATGCAGTTCCCTCAGAGGCCAGAAGATGGTGTTGGGTCCCCTGGAACTGGAGTTATGGATGGTTGTCATCTGCCATATGAATGCTGGGAACCAAATCCAGGTCCTCTGGAAGAGCAGCCAGTGCTCTTAATGGCTGAGCCATCTCTCTAGCCTCATATTTATTTTTAAAATATAAATGAAATCAGTTTTTTATTATTTTTTTTATGTGTGTTTGCCTGTGTGTATGTGAGTGTACCATGTATGTGCATTGCCCACAGAGGTCAGAAGGGGGTGTCCAAATTGCTTGGAACTGGAGTTACAGATGATTGTTAGCTGTCATGTGGGTGCTGGGAATTGAACACGGGTCCTCTGGAAGCATAGCATGTGTTTTTAACCACTGAGCTGTCTCTCTAGCCCCCTCCCCCCTATTTATTTTGGGTAAGATAGGGTCTTACTATATAGCCTAGAGTGGTCTTGAACTTGTCATCCTTCTGCCTCCACCTCTTGAGTGCCGGGATTACAGGCATGTGCCATGATGTACAGCTGTTCTTCAGATTGTAATGCTGAGCAATTACACATATTTGAACTCTAGCATCCATTTTTCAGTGTTTTTTTCATAGTCTTGTGGGTGTTTCTAGGTATTAACATCTCCTGTCTTTACCTTTTTATGATACTCTTACTGTTCATGTATTTTATAGTGTACGTGGGGAGATCAATAAACCTTATGTCCTAGTATTTTATTCAGAGTGGCTTTAGAAGCTGTCCAACAAGCCTGGGTCTGGTAGTGCATCCCATCACCTTGAGAGGGTGAGCCAGGAGGATTGCAAGTTCAAGGCTTGCTAGGGCTATAGAACACGTTTAAGGCGATCCAGGACAGCTTAGTGAGATACTGTGTCAAAATCAAAACATACAAAAGGACCAAGGATGTAGCTCAGTAGTGGAGTGCTTGCCTAGTATTGGGATCTCCCCAATTATTCCCCCCCACCCCAAAAAAAGATAATTTAATGAAATCCTTTTTCCAGCCAGCCTCTTTCTTTTCTGAGAACAGATTCGGGATTGAGCTACTTGTTACCTCTTCTCACAGGCTGTTCAATTTGTAGTTTTGGCTACAATGAACTTAAAATTATTATTTTTATATTATCTTTTGGAGCCTTCCATACCTTTCTAGTGTTTGAAGTGACCCTGTCAATTTTTTTTAGTTCTTTTTACTACCCTTTATATGGTTTGTTTCTAGACATTTCTTTGTTCTTGTGGCCTGTTGATTAACTTAGTACAATATGTTTTAATATTAGTGTAATATGTTTTAGAGCTGTTGACAGCTTCTGCTACTTAGTTGTTGATATTGATGCTTGGAACACTTGCCAATAAATGTATTGCTTATTGAACTGATGTTTTGTCACAGAATGACTTGCCCCGAGTCAAAACTGAGATTGATGCTTTGAAGAATCTGAGACATCAACATATATGTCAACTCTATCATGTGCTGGAGACAGAAAACAAAATATTCATGGTTCTTGAGGTTGGTAGTGTGTTCCAGAGAACTAAAAGTGTTTGCTTGCTTTATCAGAAGTTGAGAGAAAATTATGTTTCATCTGAAAAATTAAAGTATTTGTTCTAGTTTCATTTCTGTTCCTGTGATAAAATAGCCTAACAAAAAGCAGCTAGGGGAAGGTAGGGTTTCTTTTAGTTCACAGTTCCAGGTTACCATTCATCATAGCAGGGAAGTCAAGAGCAGAAACATCTAAGCGCAAAGGGAAATAAGCACACGCTTCCTTGCTTGACTCGTGTTCAACTTGATATCTCCATTCTTTTCCAGTTCAGGAACCCCCTCCCTAGGGAATGGTGCTGCCCTTAGTGGACTGGATCTTCCCACATCAATTAACCTAGTAAAGACAGTCCCTCACTGAGGTGCTTTCCAGGTGATTCTAGGCTGTGTCAAGTTGACAAAGCTAACCATCACAGGGTTTATTGATTCTCTTCTTCCACCATTATGTAGGTTCCAGGGATTAAACTTGGGTTATAAGGCCTGGGTGGCAAGCTCCTTTATCTACTGAGTCATCCTGCTGGCCCTTTTCATATTTGTTCTTAGCATATATTAATTATACATTATGGGTTTCATTGTGACATTTCCATGCATATATATAATATATTTTGATCATGTTCATCCCCTTTCCCCTTTCCTGACCCTCTTCCTCTCCCTTTCATATTCTCACTGATTACTCTTCCCAGCTAGTCTCCCCTCTACTTTTCATGTCTTTTTTTTGAATGAACCATCAAGTTTCTTTAGAGTTGCTTACAAGAGCATGGGTTATTTATAAGAGCACAGATACCTTGCCACTGAAGACAATGTTTCTCCCTCCCTTATCAACCATTAACTGAATAAATCCTCAAGGGGGGGTGGGGTTTGTGAGACCCCTTAATTTTCTTTTGCTTCCTATAGATATTTGTGTGTTGGGGGGTATGCATGTGTGTTTGTGCCTGTGGGGGTGCTGCTTGTGAACACAGAGTGGAAGTCAGAGGTCAGTACTGAGTGTCCACCTCTGCTCTCTGCCTTGTTTTTTGAGATGGGATCTCTCACTGGAGCCCACTGTTTCAGCTAGGCTGGCCAGCCAGGGTGCTTAGGGATCCACCTGTCTCCACTTCCCCTATGTTGGGGTTATAGATGTGTGTTACCACTCCAGGTTTTTATTTGGGTGCTGGAGATCTGAACTCAGGTCCTCATGCTTCACTTTACCCACTGAGCTAGTTCTCTGGCCCCTAATATACTCATTTTTTTAATATAGGCACATCTATAGGGCCAATTCTTTTTTTTTTTAAATTTTTTTAATTGAATTTTTGTGTATTTCATATATAAAATCATCTTTATACCCCCTTCCCCTTTGACACACTCCCATACCCACCCCCCCCCTTTGGGGGGGGAGTTCATATATTCTGTCATTTGTATTAAGGCCTGTTATGTAAAGTTAGTGTCCCAAGAAGTCCCTAAGTGTAAGTTTATCCACTGGGGTTTAGTCAGCCTATCTAGAATCTTCTCCCTTCAAGAAGATCAGCTCTTCCTCATCCAGCAGTAATCAGCTGCCAATAATTCTTTGACTACGGTTGGGGCTTGCTGTTCATTTCCACAGTTCTGTGCTGGGTTTTTGTCTGCTTAAGTTTGCATGGGTTTTGTGCATGCTGACACCATTGCTGTGGGTTCATATGAACAGGGTCCCAGGAGCCTGTAGGACTATTTCTATATGGTCATGCACCTCCCCTTGGCTCTTATAATCTTTCTGCCCCCTCTTCTGCAATGGTCCTTGAGCCCTGGGTGATCGACAGAGGCTATGTGCATTTATTATTTAAAATATATATTTATGTATTTATTTGTATTTTATATGCATATTTTGCACCACTCATGTTCAATGCCTGTGGAGGCCAGAAGAGGGCATTAGATTCCCTGGAACTGGCATTATGGATGGTTGTTTGCTGTCATGTGGGTGCTGAGAACTGAACCCAGGTCCTCTGCAAGAGTGCTCTTAACCACTGAACCATCTCTCCAGCCCTGCATTGATCATTTTAACTGATGTCGCTAAACTGAAATGAAATTTTAAGTGGAAACACAGCTTATAGCAGAGGATCTACTCTAGAGAAGAGGTAAAAAACCTAAGCTGTGTGCTCTGGCCCCTGTTCTCTCCACCTACTTAATTAAGTACCTCTGTGTAACTGGCCTCGTTTTGGTGTAGATTGAGAAATCACTGGTCTTTGGACATTGGCCAGTAATAATTATTGGAGAAGCAATAATTACTGCTGCTTTTCATTTTTAATTTTAGATGACATTGCTAAATGGGAGTCCATTAACTTGAGAATGAGTTTTTGTACTTTGTTATGAAAATAAAATCCTGAGTGAGCTGTTTGAGCTCACAGTGGTAGTTGGTTCTACTTCTGTTTATTGGTAATAAAACTGTTCAAGGAAAGAATTATTGTTCTCCATTCTGGAGTAATTACTGAGTTGTTGGATCCTGAGAGTGTATTCTGAATATGCTCACTCAGTTCCCTTGCCTTTAAAGTTGAATTAATACTGTCTCTGAGTTCAGTATCATTTTTTATTTTACATTCCTTGGAAGTGATGTCTGTAACCTATAACAATATCTGTGTGACTCTCTTGCGGTTGAAGTACTGCCCCGGAGGAGAGCTGTTTGACTATATAATCTCCCAGGATCGCCTGTCGGAAGAGGAGACCCGAGTCGTCTTCCGTCAGATACTGTCTGCAGTTGCGTATGTACACAGCCAGGGCTATTCTCACAGGGACCTCAAACCAGTAAGTGACCCTATGACACTGAGATGCTCACCTGAGAGTTCAGCATTATCTGCCTCCTCTTTTCAGACATCCGTGTGTTCTGTTTAGAAATCTATTAGCTTCCCCCTTTTTTGCTCTTATCAGAATCTGTCACATTTCTTTTTCTTCCTTTTGACTCTTGGTAGCCTTTTTAGATAGATTAACATTCTGTTTACCTGTCAATTGCACATGACATTATAAGTGTCCATGCAATCAAGATTTTTTTTTTTTTTATTTTTGGTCTTTTTGAGACAGGGTCTCCCTGTAGCCCCAGCTGTCCTGGAATTCACTATGTAGACCAGGCTGGCCTTGAACTCACAGAGATCCATCTGTCTCTGCCTCCCGAGTGCTGGGATTAAAGGCGTGCGCCACCATGCCCGGCTTAATCAAGATTTTTATTTCTAGGAAAGAAGAGTCATTGAGTATTTTCCACTCAGTGCTATATTGCCCAGCTGACATGGAGCTTGCTCTACAACCTAGACTGACCTCCAACTTGAGACCTTTCTGTTTTAGCCTCCTCAGATGGGAGATTTTATTGCTGTAATTTGAAACCATTATTCTTAAGGGAGGAGTTCAGTGTAATTGACAGATTTCACTTTTTTTTTAAGACAAGGTCTTACTGAACTTACTATGTAGACCCAACTGGCCTTGAAGTCACAGAGATCCACCTACCATTGCCCCCTGAGTGCTGGGATTAAAGGTGTATACCACCATGCTCCACTCAATCTGCTTTTAAAGAACTGAAGAAAAAAAATGTGAACATTCCTAAGATTTTAGGCTCTGACTAATTTTTCACGGTTTTATACCCCACTCTTGAATCTGAACTCTGTTTAGGCTTAAACTTGCTTTTGGCACAGGTTGTAGTCACTTGTAGTTGGCCCTCAGAGGAGGAATGGTTTACCCCAGTGTCCTTTGTGGGTAGGGATTACTATAGTTATCGACTATTCCAGTTTCCTTCCTCCTCCTCCACTTTATTTTTGAGACAGTCTCTCACTGAACCTTGAGTTTGCTATTTTGGTTAGACTTGCCTGGCCAGCAAGCCCTGGAAAGTCCCAAGGATGTCCTGATTTTGCTTCCCTGGTGCTGAGATTAGAGGCGTGTGTTGTGCCTGGATTTTTACTTGGGTGCTGGGGATCTGAACTCAGTTCTTCATTTTCCCTCTGAGTCATCTCCCCAGACCGCTTCCCTCCCTGCCTCCCTCCCTTTCTTTTTATGGTTCTAGGAAATGAACCTAGGGCCTCACCCACACTGGGCAGGTACTCTACTTCTGTCTCCAATCCCCAGTCTTTCCTCTTTATTTTTTGAGACAGGGTCTCCCTGTAGCCCGAGCTGGCCTGGAACTCACTATGTAGACCAGGCTGGCCTTGAACTCACAGAAATCTGCCTGCCTCTGCCTCCCAAGTGCTGGGATCTAAGGTGTGTGCCACCATGGCCAGTGATTTCTTTTTTTTTAAGCTCTTACCAGCTCAGCTTCAAATAGAAACAACTCTAAATCAATTTTAGAAATAGTTAAATGTATGATGTGATAATGGGAATTCAAAATACAATTAAATACCTTTGTTTTCCTAGGAAAATTTATTGTTTGATGAATATCATAAATTAAAGCTGATTGACTTTGGTCTCTGTGCAATACCCATGGTAAGTGCAGAAATAAAAATGCATTTTTGTCTGTGTAATGTACTTACTATTAGTGTGTCACCTTGCCCTCACTTAGTCTTTATTGATCTTGGTTGCTTCTATTGTGAAGAATGTTAAATTTCACCCTTGGCATTAGTAATCTTAGAAGTTCTCTAGATAATTTAGATCTGGGGCCAGGATTGTGAGCCACTGCTGTATGTAGGTCTAGGGTTTTTTCTGCTGAAGCAGGCCCGCCTCCCCCAGGAAGCTGAGGGAATTTGCTGTGACTTCATGTTTGAAGTCATTAGAATATGAATACTAAATCATGTGTTTGCAGTTTGACTCTGTTGCCACTAGATGATGTCTTTGTTTATTTACACAGGAGTTGAGACTTTGGTGTGTATCTATTATTTATTATGCAAATCGTTATATAGTCACATAGTTACATTCTGTGAGATGATTCCCTTTACTTATGAAAGAAGGGAGATGGCTACCTGAGCTTCTAAATTTATGCTGCCTTGGATTTCCTTAGTTTGCATTCTGTGTAGGTCAGCACTGGTGTTCTCCAGCATAACTTCTCTTTGAGGTCACTTTGAACTTCCCAGCTCTGCTTTCTGTGTGGCAGATCTCCTGTGTGGCTGCCTGTTGGAGGCTTCCTCCTGAGTTCTCTCATGATAGTACTCCTTGGCTCAAATGAACTGTCTACACTCATTAGGAGTGTTGAAATTGCAGACTTGTCTCAGCCCTTTGTAGTCCCATGATTATTTCCTGCCCCCATTAGAATTACCAGGGTTCAGAGGAAAGCAGATTTTGCCCCTTCACTTGAATGTCTGGTTCTTTCTGATTCTTCTTCCTCTAATGTCTCTTCTGAGATTAGCAGTAGAGGCCTGTGTCTGGGAAGCAAGTGATTCAGGAGACAGGTTTAAAATTGTTTTTCTAGACATATAAAAGCAAATATAGATTATACTTCAACAGATAAGCTAGTTAAGTTATGCTCTCTGCAGGCAGCAGAATGTTTATGAAAGATTCTATTAGCTTTTTTTTTCTTTATGGCTGCCTCAGTTTTGACCCACATGGATACCATCTAAGAAAATGGGTGGTCTGATAAAGATGGCCTCAGCCTCTGAGGAGTCACTTCTGGGCATGTTTCATTCATACATGAAATCTCACAGTTTTGTAAGTGCTTTGCCCCCAATGGGGCTGACTCACTTCAGGAATGCAGCAGTAGTTTCATTTTCTTTATGCTTAGTTTCTGTGGGAGAGTGGAGGAGGATAAACAGATTCCTCATTTAGCAGATTGAGGAGCTAAGATGCTGATTTGTCTTACAGCTGAGTCTAGAAGGTAGGTTATTATGGCATTGTCCTACATCCCATGTTGCTTTCTTTCCATGAACAAAAAAAAGAAGTCTTTTGTGTGTTTGTAAAGATTTGCTATTAGAAGGGCTGGAAAGAAGGCTCACCAGTTAAGAGCATTTGTTTGTAAAGATTTGCTATTAGAAGGGCTGGAAAGAAGGCTCACAAGTTAAGAGCATTTGCTGCTCTTCCTGAGGACCTAGGTTCGCTTTCTAGCACATTGGGTGCCTCACAGCCATCTGTAACTCTAGTGCCAGGGGATCCAGTGCCCTCTTCTGGCCTCCTTGAGCTCCTGTATGCACACGGTGTACATAAACTCATGTAGGCACAACACGCATAAACATAAGAATAGGATTAAAAAGATGCCTTACATAAAAAAATGATTGGATACTAGAGATTAGGACTGACTGGTAAAGGAATAAACCTTTCCTTGAATACATAGGGTGGGACTCATGGGTACTTGGATGTATGTTGGGCTGATTATTATGCAAATGAATATCTACGGAACTATGAACATGACTGAGCTAAGGAGAAAAAGGTCTTGTTACAGTGGTATTGGAAATGCAGAGGCGCAGAATCCACATGAGCACATGAAGAGAATGGGGCTGACTGCAGAAGTCTGAGTAGTTGAGATAATTCTTCTTCTAACTTCTCTTTGAGTTCAAAGGAAAGTTTTTATCAGACTTTAATGATATTTGTGTTTTGAAATAGAGTCTCATGTAGTTCAGGCTGGTCTCAAACTTGCTTTCTTTATAGCCAAGACCTTGAACATCTGACCGTCTTGCTCCTACTGCCCCAGTGCTGGGATTACAAGTGTGTACCGTCATGCCTAGTTCAAGGTTTAATGTTCTTAAGAGTTACGATAAGTGTTTCACTTTTACCTTATTGGCAGGGTAACAAGGATTATCAACTACAGACGTGCTGCGGGAGTCTTGCTTATGCAGCGCCTGAATTAATACAAGGCAGATTGTATCTTGGATCAGAGGTAATTGTTCACTGATTAGTTCAATACATAATCATGAATATTTTGGTGACCACAGTGAATTCTGCTTATTGGGGATATAAATTAAGAAATAATCCTGGTAATTAGAGTTTAGGCTATTTGGAAGAGAGGCTTATCATCTCATAGATGACATCAATAATGTGGAATAAACATAGTAACATATACTGCCCCCCTTTGGTGGGGGGACAGGGTCTCCCTGTAGCCCCAACTGGCCTAGAACTAAGTAGACCAAGGTGGCCTCAATCTCATAGAGATCTGCCTGCTTCTGCCTCCCGAATGCTGGAATGAAAGGCCTGTGCCACCACGCCCAGCATTAGACACTTTCGAAGCAGGAAGATATTTCTGTCATCCTCCTTGTGTTTGCTTTGTATATGCTGTGCTGTAGTTTGAACTGGTTAGTTCAGTGAGGTAGGGTCCAAGGCCAAGGTTGCAGGCCCAGTTGTCAAAGATGTTTATTAGCACAGAGAAAACCTGTCCTTTGTGTGTAGCTGACCCTCGAGGCCAGCAATCACGTGCAGATGTTGGTGCTTGGAAGGCCTGGGCTTTGTCTCCTTCGTACTCACTCCTTCAGGTTAGTCAGCTCCTCTTACTCTCTGGAGTCTTGGTGTTGCTGATGTTAGTGTCATAAAGAAACAAAACAAAAACTTCAGTTGTTGGGGCTGGAGAGATGGCTCAGTGGTTAAGAACACTGTTCTTGCAGAAGGCCCGGGTTCGAATCCCAGCACCCACATGGCAGCTAACAACTGCCCATAACTCCAGTTCCAGGGAATCTGACTGCCTCTTCTGTCCTCCGTGGGCATTGCATGACATGGGTTTACTTACCTACATGCAGGCAATATACTCATACACATAAAATAAAAATAAAAAATAAAATATTAAAAAGCCCAAAAAACTTCAGTTGTCAAAAGCTCAGAAAGTACTGGGTTGAACAGCTTTCTTATTTCAGAACACCTCCAAGTCTTTAATATACTCTGTATAGTGTGATCTTTGGAAGAGAAATATCAGAGATAGCAGCTGGGCTCAATTTTATTTGCCTATAGAATCTATTTTTCATGTGTAACATCTTTGAGAGCAAGTGCTATGTGGAGACTTTGGGAAATACCAGCTCACTTAGTTTATCTAGTAAACTGTGAGCGCAGCAGGCTGAGTCGTAACTGGAGTACCGTCTGCAGCTTTGTATATGTATATTTTCTGAAAGCTAGGAAGAACCTGTATTAGTTTGCTTTCTGTTGCTTTCCTATGTGATCTTAAAAAAAAAAAAAATCTATCATCTATGAATTTGTGTGTGTTCATGTCTCTGTGAGTGTATGTGCACTTGTGCACTGGCATGCATGCCTGTGCATAGGGCTAGAAGAGGGTGTCAGGTGTCCTCTTCTGTTGCTCTCCATCCATTCCTTCCAGGCAGGGTCTCTCCCAGAACCTGGTGCTCACATTTTTTGACTAGGCTGGAAGCCAGCAGCACCCAGCAATCCTCCTGTCTCTGTTCCCCTTGGAGCTAGGGCTATAGACGTGCACAGGGTGCCCAGCTTGTTATGTGAGTTCTGGAATTCTAACTCTGGTTCTTGTGATTGTACAGCAAGTGCTCTTTTTTTTTCAATTGAATTTTTGTGTATTTCATACATAAAATCATCTTTATACCCCCTTTCCCCTTCCCCTTCCCCTTTGGCACCTTCTTATAGCCCTCCCCGCCCCCCACTGGAGTTCATACATTCTGTCATTTGTATTAAGGCCTATTATGTAAAGTTAGTGTCCCGAGATGTCCCTCAGTGCAGGTTTATCCACCAGGTTTAGTCCCCCTATCTAGAGTCTCTCCCTTCAAGAAGATCTGACACCATTGCTGTAGGTTTGTATGAGAAGGGTCTCAGGCACCTGTAGGACTATTTCCTTATGGTCACACACCTCCTCCCTGGCTCTTAAAATCTTTCTACCCTCTTCCAAAATGGTCCCTGAGCTCTGGGTAGGTGAACCTCAATATAGGAGTCCTATCCAAGGACCCACACTCTGCTGACTGTTAGTCTCTGCATTTTGGCCACTGGTGATCTTTTGTGTTCCTGGCCCTTTGTTACAGCAAATGCTCTTAACTACTTAGCCACCTCTCCAGGCCTCTTAAGGTGATCTTCAGTAGTATTCTCATCCAGGTGAATTTAACTTCCCATCTCTATAAGATAATGTTTTAAGAACAGTCTACCAGCTGGGCGTGGTGGTGCATGCCTTTAGTCCCAGTACTCAGGAGGCAGAGGCAGGTGGATCTCTGTAAGTTCGAGGCCAACCTGGTCTCCATTAGCAAATCCAGGCCAGCTGTGGCTATAGGGAGACCTTGTCTCAAAAAGAGGAAGAAAAAAAAACCAAAACAAAACAATGTACCAAGGAGATGTCTGAGTGCTTGAAAAATGCAGAATTCAGGCCTGTACCCTTAGAGATGTTGGTTTTGTTTTTTAAGCTAGGGCTTCATTTTAAAGTAAGCAGTGCAGGTGATTTGGTGTTTATGGTCTACTTCCTGCTTTAAGGACATATTTCATGGTAGTATCTCTAAATTTTTATTAAATTCTCATGGGAAATGGTTTCAGACAGCTCATTATTTTTGTCATATTTGGGAATTTTCAGCTTATAGGTTTACTTACATTTGCTTTGACTTTAGATTTTAGTTAATTAATGTTTTCTCATATCTCATTTGAATTAATAAAATGAGGTGCTTATTGATGAATTAACTGAAAACTCCTTTTCTACTTTCTTCTCTCACATAGGCCTTGCTAGTTTTTTTTTTTTTTTAATGGGGACATTAATTTTCATCTTTTGGTGGTTAATCTGACCATCTCTTTTGGCCTCTAATGGTATCTGGCAAGGCTCTGTTACTTCACCTTCTTGTATTCTCTTTTTGTTTGAACTTTACATTCTGGTCATGAGTTCCATGTCATTATGCCTCAACTAAATAGATTAAATATTTGACATCTCTCAGGAATAAATGCTTAATTTCTGATCTCCTGCAACTTGGAACACAAAGTAGGTGTTGATGTGAAAGGTGAATTGTTCACTCCAGGCATCACTGTAGAGCTGTAGTGATTTGATGCGATTCAGTAGATATTTAGATGTGTCCTGGTTCTCAAATCATTTTAACTGTTTCCTCCATTTTCTTTTCTTTTTAAAGAATGCATCCTTCTTATCTCCTAAATTCCTCAAGGCTCAAATGAGGCTGGGAACTATGGCTTCTGGGAAGCATTCTTGTCACTGGGCTCTCTCTAGGAGGGAGCTATGACTAATAGTGGTGGCCTCATTATTGACCAAGACCAAATACTGTTTGAGTAAATAGCTACTGCTCAGGACTCACGAGACTCATGGATATCTCACAGAAAGGTTAAACTTCTTTCAGGATTTTAAGATTTGTAGGGCTGTTTCTGCATATTTGAAAAGTCAATCATTGAATTTTATTATGATTTCTGTATTACGATTTCATTTGCACATTGGAAATTTTCAGACTTGCTTTGACCTCCCTGTGCCTGTTTGCATAATCATCATATGTAACCTAAACCCTCTCTGGCCCTGTAGAATTATCTTTGAGAATGAGCAATCTGGCCTCAATTCCTTATCATGGCTGATGGTGCCCAGGCAGCTGGAAATTATTTTCTCTTGCATATTAGCATGTAGCTAGAAGAATATATTGAACAGAAAGTCAGGAGGCCTTCCTTGATGGCCTGCCATTGAATGGGTGACTTTCGACAAACCTTTCCTGGCTTCATGTTCCTTGTCTGTAGATTGAGCAAGTTGAGTTGGCTGGTTTCTGAGTTCTATTCCAGCTTTGTGAAGATTCTTTGACTCCTTGATGTGTCCTGCTATTCTGAAATGGGTTTAATGATTTTCTTTTTTCTCCCTCTCAGGCTGATGTTTGGAGCATGGGCATACTCTTGTATGTGCTTATGTGTGGATTTCTACCATTTGATGATGATAATGTCATGGCTTTGTACAAGAAGATTATGGTGAGTATTACAGGCATGGAATTTCTGTGTGAAAGTTCTCTGTTCTGCTTATTGTATTTGTAGAAGTACAACAAAGGGGCAGAATGAATCTGGGCTGCTAGAATTTAAGATTGGAGGTATTTGGGTGTGATTAAGAGCGAAATGGTGGGAAGTGGCTGTTTCTTGATCTGGGTGACACTTTGTATTGAGTTTCACACATTCATTTATAATATGTGCACTTCTGTACATTATACTTACTCAATAAAGTCTGTATTTTAACTGCTCAAAAATGAAGTAAATAAACATTACATGGTAGAAGGATTTTCTGTGTGTGTGTGTGCATATGTGTATGCACATGTTCATGTATGTGCGGGTGCATGTGGAGGCAAGGGGTCTACCTCAGGTATTGTTCCCCAGGAGCTGTTCACATTAAACATTTTTTTTAAATTGCATTGTTCGTTTATTTATCTATCTCTCTGCATGCGTGCGTATGTGTGTGTGTGTGTGTGTGCATGTGCGTGCATGTGTGTATATATGCTATGGTGTTCATGTGGTGGTCAGGGGTCAATTTGTAGAAATCAGTTCTCTTTCCACCATGTGAATCCTGGGGATTGGACTCAGGTTGTTAGGTTTGGTTGTTAGGGAGGTGCCTTTATCTGCTGAGTCATCTTGAACCCTTTTTTTTTTTTGAGATAGGGTCTTTCACTAGGACCTGAGGGTTGCCAAATTAGACTAGGCTGGCTGATCAGTGAACCCCAGGAATCTACCTGTCTCAACTTTCTTAGGGCTAGGATTACAAACACACTCCACCAAGACCAACTTTTTATGTGGGTGCCAGGGATCAAACTGAACTATTTCATCTTAACTATCTCCCTGGCCTTAAGAAATTTCATTTTGTATTTTAAAGCAATACCTTAGTAAGTTGCAGTGCTAAACTATATTTTCCTGTTGAATTATAGTAGCTAAAATCCTCTTCCTTTTTTTTTTTGAAAAGGTGAAGATTTGGCCTTAAGATATAGTAAGATCATAGTTAATGGCACCTTAACTAAGCTTGCTGAATGTGATGGCACATATCTGTAATCCTAACACTTCAGAGGCAGTGACAGGAGAGTTGTTGCAAGTTTGAGGCCAGCCTGGTCCACATAGCAAATTTGGGCTTGCTTGGTCCACAAGACCAGCTAGGGCTATATAGTGAGACTATGTCTCCAAACTAGACCAAATAAACAAGTATACCATAAGCTTCATTAAAATCATGTATATATTAAAGACAAATGTTTATAGGGGTCTCGGGGAGGGAAATGCCTGCTAATGGTAATGGGTTTTCTTTTGAATGATGGAAACATTCTAGAATTTGTAATAGTGAAACTTGTACAACTTTGGTTTTTGTTGTCCTTTTTGTTTTTTTTTTTTCTTTTTCAGTGGTGCTGGAGATTCAACAAAGGTTTCATTCAGGCTCTACAGACGTTCTTCTACTAAGCTATACTCCAGCCCTAACAGCCTTGTGAATGCACTCATATTCACTGAATTTTACACTTCAAAAGGATAAATCTTTCATGTGGGGCTAGAGAGATGGCTCAGCAGTTAAGAGCGCTGACTGCTCATGCAGAGGACCTGCATTTGGTTCCCAGCACGCACATGGTAGCTTACAGCTGTCCATAATTCCAGTTCCAGGGGAATCCGACTCTCCTGTCGTCAGGCATTGAACAAAGCACGGGTGCACTTACATACATGCAGGCAATTGACTCATACACATAAAATTTAAAAAAAAAATGAGAAAAATAGTACAGTTTTACGGAGTTACTATTCAAAGCAAGATAACAGAAGTTATGTGAAGGGGGCATCTTACTGTGTCTCATAGGAACCGGTCAGGCCAGCAGAGCAGCATCTTTGAATGCTGCTTGTATCCATTCTGTTTTTACAAACATTCCCTGAATGTCTTCTTTGTGTAAGATATCAAAAGATATAGACAAAGATCTATGAAACTTGATGATTGCCTCTTGTGGGTCTGATTTCTTGTTGGAGTCAGCCATAAGGCTAGTGGAAAAAAAAGGGAATGGCTAAAGCATGCCATACAGTAATAGAGTATAAATGAACATAGAAGTTGAAGAATTTGGGCAGAAATCTTAGAATTAAGCAGGGGTTTATAAAAAGCGCTTCTGTTAGAATAGTCAGGATGAGCGCATGCATAGACTAATGGCAAGGAGTTTAAGTGCCTGGACCATTGGGTCTCTAGCTCCTTTGGGTAGGGAGAGTCCCCAGGTCAACTCTCATTTCTGGGAAGTGGTCCACAGAGTTGAAAGTGGCAGTCCCAGCTGACTTGTGGCTCACTGTGGAATGCCAAGTCTAAGGCATTGGATTCACGCTTCAATTTTTGTTTAAATTTTTTTTTTTTCCTCTGTCCCAGACTGGGAAAACCTTTAAAATAGATGAGATTTTTATCATGGAATGAGTAATTTCAACTCGTTGAAGGCTGAGCAGCTCTAAGCCAGGCTGCTGAGGAGAGTGATGGCAGGGGCTGTCACCATGGCCTCGGCAACGGGCAGGCTTTATCCTTGGGAAGGGAAGCTAGGTGGGCATGGAAGTGGAGGCCAGCTTCCTAGAGCCGGCTGCTGTGACCAGGGCAGCCTGTATTTCCTCCTGTCCCTTCTTAAGCTTCCTCTAAGCTTTGTAGCCTAGCAGTTGTGGCTTTGGCTCCTATTTGCTGAGTGCGGCAGCAGATCCTGTCTGTATAGAGCCTGCCCCACCTCATGTCAGCTGTGGATACAGAGTAGCGTAGTGTCAGGATCATCTGGAGCATCCTTGTCAGTCAACAGAATGGTGCCTTGGGTCTTCAGGCAGTTCAAGAGCACTTTTCCAGTGTGCGTGTGCGCATGTGTGTAACAAGTGGTAATGTTTCTTAATTGGCTGACAGTTCAAAGCTTAATTTTACACAAAAGTAGAACCATCATTTTTTGTGTGTGTCCATCCTCAAAGTCGAAATCAGGTAGGAAAGCATATACATTGTTGTAATGCATTTACATTACTGTGCTTATGTAACTCTTGCTCACTAGGCATTAAAGGACTGTCATGTTTCTGATTCTGGAGGGAGGCATCTGGAAGGGGTACTGAAGTTAGGAAGGCAGAAGCATTCCAAGATCTCACCCCAGAAGCCACTGAGCCCATTTCTCAACTATTTTTTAACCACGCATTATCAGTTTTTTTGCTCAGCACTAGGTTCATATTACAAATAAAATTACTATTTCTTCTCTTTTTCCAAATATTAAAAATTAGGGTTTTTTGGTTGGTTGTTATTTTTTGTTGTTGTTTGCTTGTTTTTCGGTCTTTTTGAGACAGGGTCTCCCTGTAGCCTGGAACTTACTATGTAGACCAGGCTGGCGTTGAACTCACAGAGATCCGCCTGCCTCTGCCTCCCAAGTGCTGGGATTACAGGTGTGTACCTCAATGCCTGGCAAAACTCAAAATTTTAGACGTGTCTTTTCAACTGCATCCCTCTCCAACTACCAAATTACCATAGCGTGGATAGCCTATGGTTTGAGAATCACTGCTCTAATGGATCAGGATTGAGGAAGCCAATGCTTAGCCAGTCTGTGCCTTTCAGGATTGGAATGAGCATTTCCTGGGAGCAATACTGAGAGGTCATGTATGTATGTGTATATATATATACAATTTTTTTTTGGTCTTTTTGAGACAGGGTCTCCCTGTAGCCCCAATTGTCCTGGAACTCACTATGTAGACCAGGCTGGCCTTGAACTCACAGGGATCCGCCTGCCTCTGCCTCCCGAGTGCTGGGACTAAAAGGGTGCGCCACCATGCCCGGCTATTTTTACTTTTTAATTGTTTTAAGACATTAAAATTTTTCATCATGTGTATATGCCAGTGCAGGTGCCCAAAGAGGCCAGAGTTGTCAGAGCCTCTCCAGTTGGAGTCACAGGCAGTTGTGAGCCACATAACGTGGGTGCTGGAACTCGAACTCAGGTCCTCTGGAAGAGCAGTACACACTCCTAACTGCTGAGTCACCTCTCTAGCCCCTATTTTTATTATTTTTAATTATGTGAATGTTCAGTTGTGCGTTTAATAACTACTCGGCTGGTCTTGTGAATTCTTTTTATTGTTCTTTTCTATAAAGTAGAGCTATGCTTCTTAGTTTTGAAGAAAAGTTTTAGTATTATAAGCTGCTATTATATTTTATTCTATGCTTTTGGGAGCTTGATGCCAAAGAAATAAACTGAGATTTCCAGAGATCTGCTAGTTAGTACGGCACAGAATCATACCCCTCCCAGAATTCTAGGTAAGTGTTCTCTCTCTGAGCTCTGTCCCTAGTCCCCAGTGCACACCTCCCAGAATTCCAGAAAAATAATGTGGGGATATATGATTAGAGAATTGCACTGTGGGAAGAGAATCTTGGAAACTGTCTTCTAACTTTGATAGTTGTTTCTTGTTTAATTCCTTGTTAAATCCTTGACTCTACAGATATGGTTTCCCATACTGTGGGAGTAGCAGTGGTTCATAATGCTGCCTGGCACTTCAGAATCGCTTGCGACAATCCTTAGAAACTCAGTAGTATTTTTTGAATTGAGGATCTCTACTTTTTGGCAAATGATTTCACTTCTGTGTCTTAGTTTCTTCTATAAAATGGGTGGAATTTATCATACTGTACTTACAACACAGGGTTGCTCTGAGGATTACATGAGTCAACCTATTAAAAGCATTTAGAGTAAGTGCTCACTAAATGTCAACTGTTATTAGTAGCACTATTTAAAATTTGGTTTACCAATATTTTGTCTAGGACTTAAAATTTCTGCAGAGATTAATAGTTTTTTTTTTTTTCATTTAGAATTATTGTTATCATCTTCAGGATGTGTGTGTGTATGTGTGTGTGTGTGTGTGTGTGTGTGTGTGTGTGTGTGTTTTTTGTGG